AAGGAGCAAAGCGAGACTTTCAGAGCTCAACCATGAAGTGCTCGGGGGCTTGTCGATGCGGGACCCACAGGATACCCCGCAAGGGAGAGAGAAGATCTAGTTCAACTAGGATTCTTCCCATGTAATCTTAGTAATAGAACTATTAAGTAATCCTACTAGGAAATCTCATTGTAAACCGACTAGGACTCTGGCCTCCTGACTATATAAAGGAGGGCAGGGCTCCTGAGAGAGGACGACAATTGTACAACATAACACTTCATAATCAATCCAACGCAAAGGCCAACGCCGACTGGACGTAGGGTCGTTACTCGATCTACGATCGAGGGCCTAAACCAGGATAAATCGACTGTCTCTTGCATTTACCATCGAGTTCAGCATACGCTGAAGCCCGAACATACTGCCCCGGGTACCCCCGTGGCAGGCTATCGGTGGTGAAACATCGACAGAGAGATCGAGCGTCTTTCATGTGGTTAAGGTAGGAGAAACGGTCATGGCCGACCCTGGCCTTGGCGTGCTCATCCTAACTGGGTCTCGGTTGTTTGGGCCGTTGTTAGCCCGATGAGTAGCAGGCCGCATATCCTACCAACTAATCGGCGCCTTGAGATACCTATGGGTCATAACCCCGACAATATGTTAGCTGTTACATATTCTGTCCCAGAAAACAATTTATTGATGTCATTGAACAATTTAAGCCTCTCTACAACATCCTTAGCAAATTTTCACTCATCCTCAGTTGGCAAGGAAGTATACAGCCTGTCTATACGGCTTACCCTAATGAAAGCAGCCTTGTATGGTAATGCACGACTAAGCATGGTGAAAGTTGAATTCCACTTAGTCCTACAGTCAAGAATTATTTTGGTTGTGTCTTCTACTTAAATAAACTTAGCTATCTCCTCAAACTTTTCAATCCTTTTTGGTGTAGCAGTCCAATAAGCTACGTTATCACAAATGTTTTCTATTGCATCTTTCAACTCCTCTAACCCATCCTTTACTATCAGATTAAGAATATGAGTAGAACAACACATATGCAACAACTTACCATCATTCAAGAGCTTATGTCTTCTAATATTCCTCACAAGCAAAGGGATTACTGCATCATTTGTTAGTGCAGTTGTCAAGAGTAATTGAAGATATCTTCTCATCAAGATTCCACTCAGCCAAACTGTCATACAATTCTTCACCAATGGCTTCAGCAGTGTGAGAAGCAGGGACATAAATGAACTTGTCATTCAATAGTTACAAACAAAATAAGAAACATGATATGCAACCTGATCTGAACAAAATGATATGCAACTAGATCTGAAAAATAGATTATGCTCAACATGATATGCAACAATATCTAAGAAAAAAGTTAGTACCTCATGATAATATTTCTAAGATTCCAAGATTCATTAATAAATATGCCATGATGGCTATGTAACCTCTCTTTTGGTTGTCATATGTCCACATATCAGTAGTGATGGCCACCTTGAACTGAATTCCAGCCATATATTCAATGGATTTTTTTCTTCTCCAACTCATATTGCGCCATAACATCATATCTGAAATAAAACTGAAAATATTAGGAAATTAATGTGGGCTCACAGAAATTGCAAATAGGATGTGGGCTCATAGATCTTATACCTTATTGTGTTTCTTGTCCCCATTTTGAATAGTGGTTGAAGTGCACCGACAAATCTTCGAAAGCCAACATGATCAACCATGCTTAAAGGGTATTCATGAAGAACTATCATGGCACTAAGTTCTTTCCTAGCTATGTCTTGGTCAAAGATGTAGTTCTCCACTAAGATTGTCCCTGCATCTGTCCTATTAAACTCATTGAAGTTTGTACCATTGACTGCCCATTTAGCTTGACCTTCTTTAGCACACAAGACTTCAAATGGAGACGAAGGTGGTTAGTCCCATTTCTTGACACCCCAAAAAGTTTCTTCGAGCAGTAGATACATTTTGCATATTCATTGGACCCAATCTTCACTTTTGTGAACTCCTTCCAAAAGCCGATCTGAGCTTTCTCTTAGAACCAGCCATGACGTCTTCTTCTTCTTCTTCTTCTTCTTCTTCATCATCATCATCATCTATCTCAATTGGTTGTGAATCATTGGTCGATTCAAGTTGAGGTGATCCAGAGATTGGAATTGAATCTAATTCCACTTGTGATGCTTGTGATCCACATTGCGGGTTGTTGCTCAAATCACTACCAGTAGCCATAGACATCCTGTTCAATCTGTAGAAGCACATTGAGCAATTAGATACATCAAAAATTGTACTAATGTTATCTCTGCATACTCAGTTATGCAAAATAACATATACCTCAACAGATCACAAACTAGACCAAATCTGAATATATCTCAGAACCAGTACCTCCCATCTGAATATTTATTTATAATGACCAAATCTGACCAATTAACATATACATGAACAGATCACAACTAGACCAAACAAAACAAAATAAGCTAGTAGCACTACAATAATTTTTTATTTATAACAACAGATCACGACTATGCATATGACATATATTTCAGAACACATAATCATACACTAAACCATTTTTTATTTCTATAAGAACTAAGCACAACCAGAGAAACCAACATAAATCAAAACATGAAAGTCGTCGTCTTTGCTTACCCAAAGGAGCATTTCAGGTGCTGGTTTCGCACTTTTTGAGCAGCTGCAGTCGTACTCATCTAAGGCTCTGCTTGTTTCAGCTTGAGTTGGTTTTTAAAAAAGCGAGAAAACTGGTATTTGAGAAAATGAACTAAAAGTTGAATGCATTTTCTAAAAAGATTTTTTAGCTTTTTGGTGTGCTAAGAAATTCAAAATTTAATAAAAAAACTAATAGCAAAAAACAACAAACCCAAAGTGAAAAGCCAGAAAGCTGGCTTAAAAAATTCTGAAGCTACACCTCAAACACGCTGGAATGCCGATAATTGACAATGCTCTGTGTAGGGCGTACATCCGTTCAAACGCTGCGTTCCTGGCCTACGCAATGGTCCGGCCCAAACAGGCAAGCGGCCAGCTCTCCTCTACGCTCTCTCCCATCTCTCTACTCTCTGTTGCACCCAAAACATATAGCATCCTGCGACAGAAAATTCCCCTCGCCTCGCCCGACGCGGCTTCACCGTGCCGTCCGTCTGCCCCACTCCGCCACCAGCCGCCGCCATCCCCCACCGTGCCCCCATCCCGCGCCACGCCGAGCTTCGCCTCGCCGCCACCAGGAGAAGGTCGTCGCCGACTGGGACATCTTTTTCTTGCGGTCGGTCGAAGACACCACGACAGGAAGCCGCGCCACCATCAACCCGAGCTTGTTGTCGCTACCGCAGTTCCCCACCAGGAAGGTTGTGGCCGTCGAGACGCGCGACCTTAGCAAGGAGATGTTTGCGCTGAAAGCACATGTTGCAAACGTATGTTAAGTGTTTCAGATGTTTAAGAGGTATGTTGCAAGTGTTTCATACGGATGTTGCAAAGTAGATTCCGATGTTGTCTATGTTGCAATGACTATATATATATGTTGCAATCATCTATTCAAAATGTTTTATTTGTTTTAAACGTATATTGCAAGTGTTTTATCTAGATGTTGTATATGTTTCGTACATATGTTGCAAGTATATGTTCCAAATGTTTTAGCTATTTCAGACATACATTGCATCAACTGTTTTCATGTTGCAAGTGTTTCATGTTTCAAATGTATACTCTTAGATGGGACTACTGGAGTCACGCATCTGCAGCCGGGCCGCGCGCGAAACGGAGCAAGCGCAGACGATCCCTGCGTGCACGTGGGAAAAGGAGGGGTGCGGGTGGTCCCGCGTGCGGCGGGCAGGGCTAGTCGTCTGGGCGGCGCAGGTAGTCTCCGCATGCGCACACAAAACGGGGCAGACGTGGGCGGTCTCCGCGTGCGCATGGGAAACCGAGCGTACGAATTCGAGCAGGCAGGGTGCACGACACGAAGTAGACGTTGGTGTTCGTTCTAAACGTCCGGACGCTAGCTCTACTGGTACATACATCGAGGTATAATTCTCTGCTTCAAATTTCCTTTTATATGACACAAAAATACTCCGACCTCTTGGTATTGATTTTCTAATTATAATGGGACATATATAAGGAGTCAGGTAGCCCCACCGGCCACCGCTGTTCGCTGTACACAACAGGTTCGAGGGCTCGAGCGGTCGAGCCTGGTTGACCTGAACCTGTGCTCATCAACCGAGTCCCGACCGCATCGGTCTGACGGTCTCTCTATGCGTAAGGACGAAGGTTCGCGAATGAGACTTTTCCCTGCGTGCCATTATAAAAGATCGTAACCCTCTGTGTGTCCCTGGAAAAATCTAGCGGTCTTCAGCGCCACTACTTTAATTTTTTCGTGTCTTTCATGCCACTTCCGTCAGTTTGGGCTCTAACGCCGTCAAAGTGCAGGTGTGAAAAGACGAAAATACCCTTAAGTCTAAATATGTTATTAATTTTTTTTGAGCATCTTAACGACTTCAAATGAAAAAACTCAAAACTAGAAAGTTGTAGATCTCGTCGAGATCTATAATTTTTTATATAAAATATATTTTCATTTAATTACGTAAAAAAATATGATTTGATATGATTAATATATCTTAGAAAAATCATCATTTTTTTGCGGAATTAAATGAAAATAAATTTTATATGAAAATTATAAATCTCGACGAGATCTACAACTTTCTAGTTTTGAGTTTTTTAATTTGAAGTCGTTAAGATGCTCAAAAAAATTAATAACATATTTAAACTTAAGGGTATTTTCGTCTTTTCACACCGCAATTTAACGGTTTTAGAGCCTAACTGACGGAAGTGATATAGATGATAGAAAAAATTAGAATAGTGACGCTGAAGAGAATTTTTACGAGGATTACGATGTTTTACGATGGCACGCGGGGAAAAGTCTCTTCGCGAATCCCCTCCTCCCTTCGGCCTCGCCTTCCTATTATTCTCCGCCGAAGCCTAGTTTACATCGCGAAGGGCGGCAAGGCAGATCCAGGGCGACCATGGCTTACGTCGAGAGAGGTAATCTGATTTCCGAAGGAATACCCATCGGTTAGGAATTGCTTGATTATGGTTTCTGCTTGTGGGTTCTCCAGGCGGCCCGATATGTCTATTTATCTGATTATAATCGCATGATGCTATCGCGATTGTCATCGGGGATTAGCATCTAGTCCTATTGATTCGGGTGGCTCTATAATCTTGTATTTCTAGATGCATACCTAGCGATCATATCATTCGTACTGCCATTATCTCTGCAAAACAAATGCAGTTTCAGCTGGAATTCCAGCTAGTAGGTGTTTGGATGAAGGGGAATTCGAATTCCCCTGTCCAACCAGGTCCCTTAGGGTTTGGAACTTCTAGGCAACAAAATATTGCACCCTTGGCTTGTTCGTTTGATCCCAAACCCAAGGGGGTTGGAAGGGATTGAGAGGGATTCAATCCTCTGCAAGTCAAAATCCTCTTCTACCCCCTTCAATCCCTTTCATCCCGTGATCAAACGAACATGGCCTTAGAGTGGTAGGAATTACCGGCTGCAGCAGTGCATGCAACTCTAGAATTGACTGGATTACATAGCTTGGTTATGTAACCATATGTTTGTGTGAGGTGTTATGAATAATTGCTGTGAAGGAGACGCTGGTAAGCAAAAAAAACATGATAAATGATTGGAGCACTAGACATCTGAACAGAACTGTGATTCGATGCTTGTGCAGGGTCGTTATCCATTCTTGATTTCACAGCCCCAGTTTTACAGCTGAACTCACTAGAGGCAGGACCCTTATGTATGCACCAGTATCACTGATGGTTTTAGAACAAAGAGGAAAATTTGCTAATAGGGTCATCAGAATTTTCGTACATACTTGATATTTTGAGCAGAAGTGCTGCTGTAGTTCGATGTTTTTGGCTATCAGTTATACTGAGTGTTTTCCAAGAAAATCAGCGAGTTCCAAGTACTGGAGCTGAGTGCAAAAGATGTAACTATCGCTCAGCTACTGAAATGTTGAGCTAAATAACATGTTGTCAAGATTCAAGAGTGCTGTCTTTGTTTCTTTTTCACAGATTGCTATACTTGCTATAATGTTAGATAATGAATATAAGCTGAAGTGCGCTGCAAATTTGGTAAGCTTTTGCTTTGAGTTAGTCACTTGGGCCTCATCAAGGAGGCTTGTAGAAAATGGAATAAAACAGAAGATACCAGTTGTACATTTATTAATGCAAGTGTAAAAGGAATTCTCTTGTATATCTAAAGCAGAATGTTGCATGCATGCTGGTCGTGGTGGTAAAGTTGCCTTTGGTGGGGACGATGAACACACTGGGTTCGATTTTCTTCCTTTGAAAAATGTAAATATGAACTATAAAAGTACTAATTGGAAGTATTGTTTGGGGGCCTTTCCTGTTTCTGAAATCTCAGTGGAGTCCAATTCCCCTGCATAATAAGGATAGAAGCATATGCTATGCACGGGACTATAAGCATAACACCGAAGGATAGTGCATTTGCGGGTTCTATGAAAGTTTCCTCTTCTTTTTCTATTTCCATGCTTATCAGTGGGTTTTCTTTTGCATTGATCTGATCACTCACCATCATAATGATCCATGGCTCCTAATATATTAACACGTTGGTGGTGAGCACCTGTATCACTTAACATCAATATGGAAAGGTGATCTTTGAATGCACTTCTGTAGCTGAAGAAAAGTTTATATCAACTCATTTGAAACGTCATTTTTTTACAGTTTTCTGCTGAGACCTAAAGTAAATAAATTTATAAAGTAGTATTAAGTTTCCTGGAGATTATTCCTGGTTTAATAGAAGTTGAAAGTTTGTGGTGTTTTTTTTTCTAAAGCTGAGTGTTTGATTTGCCTTCGTGAAATTCAACATTGTGGTTTTGGGTAGTGAGGCTACAGACCGAAGTGACATATCACATGTTTACAAAAGTAATTCATTGTGTCAAAACATCAAAGGATCACAATATCTGTTTGCGGTAGTTTATGGTCATCTTTTCTTGTAAAACAAAGGTGCAACTCTGATCTTTCTGGGCTGAGTTTCTGTGTCTTTGTTGGGGTGTATGAATGTTTGTGTGGTTCCTTGTTTGTTGGGCTCTTTTACCCCCTTTTCCTTTTCTTAACATAAAGATTCGAGAAAAGAAGAACAATATTTTGGTCCTGATTTTAAGCATCAAATTACAATCAGGTAGCTTATAATTGTTTCTGAACAACATGCAGTTATTTCGATATACCACATTGGGTAGTTGCATCAAATTTGAATGCTTGTCTAATGGATAAGTATCTACTAGTGGCCAGGTTATTCTTGAAAACCTTTTGGCAAAGTTGATAGAGGTATTTCAACTCAGGTGGACGCAACAGGAGGTTATTGCATTCAGTTTTGAAGAATTTGAAGGGTCTTTGATTTTTTTCTGAAAAAACATGCAGATATTTGGATAAACCACGTCGGATATGCGTCGGATGTAAATGCTTGTACCAAGTCATTCTTGAAATTGTTAGGATTCCATTTTAGTCTGTTAGGATTCCATTTTAGTCCGTCGCCCTCCCTCCCCCCTCGTCCACACAAACATACACACTGGATTGCCTTTTCGTTATTCTTACTTATAGGCGGGGCTTGTATTTATAATCTATCAAATCAGAGGAAAGCTCATTTTCATCTGTATTGTCTTGCAGGCGTTGTGAAAGACAAGCGGACTAATATGGCGACTGAGCATAATCTCAGACTTCTTTCGGGCTATTGTGAACTTCATCAAGATCTTCTTTGACACACTGTTCTCAGTAAGTAATCAATCTCACGGCTTACTTTTCATTTTGTTGCATGTAATTTCAAGATTTGAGAAAACAGAATCTAATCCTTGTACTTGAACCTTTTAGGTGGACAAAACTGACAGCTACAAGAAAGGATATGGTGCTGGTAAGAAGTGGGATGGTGGACCTGGTGGTGGTGGTGGTGGACGGGGCCCATATGGCAGTGGAGGTGGAGGATTTGGCGGCGGAGGTGGAGGTGGTTCACGCAGTCCTCGCACTCTATCTGACATCCGATCCAATGACCACAGTATGTGCTGATTTCTGGACTACACTGTCCCAATTCACCATTGTGAACTTCAGTTTTCTAAACATCAGTTCTGATTTCAGGTTCTCTCCCTGCTTGTGGATCCTGCTGCGGCTAGTAAGTGCACAATCGTTCTGCCTGATGACTGCTTATAACAGATGAATAAACATGCTTCAATGTCCTGAAGGACATCATAGCAATTGATATGTATTTCACTGTCAGACTATCGCGTATTAAAATCAGTGAGTTGTTTATTAACAGCCTATTTACTCTGCAGCTTGACTCCTGGCATGATTCACATGGTACATTCATGGTTTATCTTTCGTGTACTGCTGTCTACTTGCATAATAACTATATCAGTTACAAAGTTTTATAAATTGTCTGGTGTGCTGTTCTGTTATATCTTGTATGGTAGTAATTGGTGAGTACAGACAGCGGGGCACCTGCGGCCGATTTTTTTATATTTTTATCCCTTTTTTTGAATTTTTTTCACAAATATGCCCTTGAAGGTATGATTTCAAAATCTGGACCCTTAGCTCGGCGCCATCGTTGCTGGCGCCGAGCTTACACTTCTAGGCGCCATCGTTGCTGGCGCTGAGGTCTTGGGCTCGACGCAGACGTGACGGTGACTGGCAGGCAGCTTGGCGTCGTAGATCCTAGCGCCGAGCTTGGCGTCGTAGATCTTGGCGCCAAGATCTATGGCGCCGAGGTGATGTTTTAACCCGCCCCTCAACCTTCCTGCCTGAGCCTTCTTCCTCTTCTTTCTCCTCCCTCTCGGGTTTTTTTCTCTCCCCACTTCGTCCTACCTCACGAATCGGCATATTGGACCTTGGAAACTTTGATTTGATTTGTAGATCTTCGAGAGCAAGGTATCCTTGCTCCCCTTCTAGTTTTTTTACATCGATTCGGTATATATTAGTTGGATTTTTCAACCTAAGAATCGTCATTACTTAGAGTTTCATGCAATTTTTAATATTTGTATTATACAACCGTTGGATGTCAAGGCGTGGAAAAGCTAGCAAACCAAGGTAACCTTGTTGTGCATCAAATGAAAAACCCTAGGTTTATGGTTTAATGTTAATTGCTTTCGGTTCCTAGAACGAAATTGGTTGAATTGTAGTTATGGCCGGATGACCGGAAATGCCTTCGACCCATTGCCTCTGCCTAGTGGTGTTCCAGTGCCTATGTGCTTTTGCGGCGATCCTTGTAAGGTAGCCAAGTTCGATGAAGGACACGTATATGCAGATGTATTGGATGTGTTCCAATTTTACGTTTGAGCCTACACTTCGTCAGCGCCGCATTAACAAGATGGTGATGAATTGATGTTTGTGTCATATGACATCTTGCATGGTTTTTTTGTTTTGTAATAATTGCATTTTTTACAGACCCCTCCACCGCTCTGTGATTTTGAACAGTAGGTCGACACTGAGATCAAGTCTAAAGACAGAATGGATGCAAAAACTGTTGCGGTGGGAGGCAGAGGACAAGGAGATGATGGAGAAGAGACGCGGAGAAGAGACTGTAAAAAAGGAGCACAAGGAAGAGGAGGAAAGGAGGTGTGTTGCTGTGTACAGGGAGGAGAGGGAGAAGAAACTTGAGCGTGCATGCCGAGCGAAAGCAGCGATGGAGGAGAATCCCGATGCCCTGAGGAAGAAAAAGTGATCTCGTTGCACTCAGTAGTCTTCATTACTTGCTAGTTCTATGGTTTATTCATGAACAATGTTGTCTACTGTTGGCACATATTTCTAGTATTATTGTGTTGTTTAATGTGGCATAGTATTGGACTTTTCATTATGTAGTTGTTTTCATTATTTGTGGTCATAATATTCATTATAATGTTGCGAATGTAGTGAAATGTGATCACGTGCTGCAAACACAACCTAACGAAGTAGGGTATTATATAATTCAACACACAAAACACATGAAATGGCATGTAAGAACATATACCGAACTAGGGTACAGAGTTCTTTCGACTAAACCTAACATGCCTTAGGTAATTAAATCAAACAATAAACACATGGATGTGCCATGTGGATAAGATAGGGTCGTCCTAGTAGTGTGGCCACATAGCAAATTGTGTTGCACCTTCTCCACAGTAGCTGTAACAGAACCGACCAAATCATAAAAACGTAAGTACAAAAACAATCACCGAAGCGATCAAAAACAATCGCCGTTACACAAGCTTGTATTTACTTTCACATACATTGTGCTTGTGTAGTTGCTCTTGTAATTAGTTGGCTTGTGTAGCTTGCTAGTTACCTTTTTACTTGTGTAGCATAGAAGTACCCTCCTTGCATGACTAATTTAGTTTGAGTAACCTTGTTAGTCACATTGCTTAGTTTGTGTAGCTAAGTAATTTATGCTCTCTAATTTGACATTAGTTGCCTTGTTATTGAGCATTGCTAGTGAGCTTAGGAGCTTTGTGCTTTTGCTACTAGCACGTGTAGGAGCTCCCTGGTGCTTGAAGTACTAGTGGCATAGGTTTGTTTGACCTTACTCCTAAAATTGGTTAGGTGAACTCTAGCTAGCCCATCACCTTTGTTGCCTAATTAGAATCTTTATAAGGTGCTTAAGAACTTAGATAGAGGGGTATAGTCTTGGCTAGACCGATAGTTTTAATTCCGCACTTGTATCGGTTAGCCGGCGCAATTAAATTTTAGAAAGGACTATTTATCCCCCTCTAGTCTGCCATCTCGACCCTACAAAAGGCCCAAGGTCGCTCGATGACCTCGTCACCCTGCGCGGTAAGAGGCCAATGACTCGCTCGAAGTCTGCATCCTCAAGCTCACAAACACAAAAGAGGGCCAAGTACCCGACCAACCTCAACCAAGGGACTCAAATGGAAAGGCCCAAGGTTGCCCCGTAAACTCGCCACCCTGCGCGGCGAGAGATCTATGACCCAATCAGAAAACCTTGGTTTGATACCAACAAGCCTAAATCTGGCCAAACAGCCTAGGGGCTCACCATGGCCTCGTAAAAGAGCCACAACAACTCTGAAAGGAGGATTCCTTGAGCTTTATTCATATCTCATGATTACAAAGCAATGTGTGGTCGATCCACACACAAGGAACACAGAACTGATACCACCACACCCTAGCGGTGGTATCACTGAAAAAACCCTCGAGGAACAACATCGCAAGGGGAGGCGAGACGATGCAAAAAAAAACAAGCTCGCAAGCCCTCCCCGTAGTGTCGCAGCCCCTAGGGAACAAAACGTGAGGAAGAAGAGAGCGACAGAACTGCCTAGCTCCAACAAGCACCTTGGCAACCACTCCGATGCCAAGATGGAGCAAAAGGGAGGCCAAAGTGTAGCCATGTCACAAAGGCTGCACTACCCCCTACCCGATAACCACGCCATCTTTTCCTCCTCCGCTCGTAAGATCCCTTCTAGCACCAGTTGTTGAAAGGGCGACACTGGCTCTGGCCACCCCTATTGACCCTCAGAAGGACGTATGATGGGAACAACGCAGTTCTCCTCGAGCCTTTCTCTCCCATTTCCTCGCTCTCTCAGCAGGAAGGGAACAATTTGTAGATATAGCCATGAGTGGTTCGAATGGAAGGAAGGCCCATATTTATATGCCCCAGGGCAGACCGAACAAAACCCCCACGGCACGTGGCGCACCACGGTATGCCACAGCCAAAGTAACATGCCCGCATGAGGACAGGGAAATTGAGACCCTCCTAAAGGCAGGGACGCAAGGCCGACAAGACCACTAGGCTTCGCCTGGGTCACGAACCCTAAAACATGGCACACTAACACGGTGTAGGGTCGAGATGGCGGACTAAGGGGGTGAATAGTCCTTTTCAAATTTAATCGCGCCGGCTAATCGAAACAAATGTAGAATTAAAACAATCAGTCTAGCCAAGACTACACCCCTCTATCGAAGTTCACAAGCACCTTATAAAGATCCTAATTAGGCAACAAAGGTGCCGGGCTAGCTAGAGCTTACCTAACCAATTCTAGAAGTAAGGTCACACAAACCTATGCCACTAGTACTTTAAGCAACGAGGGAGCTCCTACACATGCTAGTAAGCAAAAGCACAAAGCCACCTAAGCTCACTAGCAATGCTCAATAACAAGGCTACACAAGCCAAATTATAGAGCACAAATTTCTTAGCTACACAAACTAAGCAATGTGACTAACAAGGTTACTCAAACCGAATTAGTCATGCAAGGGAGCTACTTCTATGCTACACAAGTAAGAATGTAACTAGCAAGCTACACAAGCTAACTAATTACAAGAGTAACTACATAAGCACAATGTAAATGAACTAAATACAAGCTTGTGTAACAAGGATGCAAACCAACGGGAATACAAGGATGACACGATGATTTTTATCCCAAGGTTCACGAGCTTGCCAACACGCTAGTCCTCACTGAGACAAGCTCCAAGGTTGCCCTCGGCCCTCTTGCTAGTGGTGACCTGCAAGTCACACTCTCCCACGTGGAGTGCTTACCACAAGCACTAGCACTTGACCCGGCCGGACCACTTGTCGCCCTTCGCATCTCGCTCTACTAGAGTTCCTCTTCGCGGCTCCCGTGGGGTGAGCACAATCCCCCTCACAATCACTTCTCTGGAGCACCGCACAATCTTCTTTGCATGCTTCAACGGAGACCACCACCAAGCCGTCTAGGAGGTGGCAACCTCCAAGAGTAACAAGCACCACTAGCCTGCAACTCGATAACCTAGTGCCACTCGATGCAACCTCACGATGCAATCGCACTAGAATCGCTCACTCACTCAATCGGATGAACACTATCAAGCTCAAGTGAGTTAGAGGGCTTCCAAGCACTCCTACATAAGCCACCAAGGCTCAAGGGTGCTCAGCTCTCGGCCAAAGGCCGATCAACACTTTTATTTATAGCCCCACGGACTAAAATAGCCAATACCCCTTCACTAGGCAGATTTCGGGGCGACCGAACGTGCAGATCGTGTGCACTGGACGCGTCCGGTGTGGCGACTGAATGCGTCCGGTCACTGCTTGACCGCCACGTGTCCCATTCAAACGAAGTAGTCATTGCCGCCCAACGGCCCTCTCTGACACACTCTGATGCGACGCATTGGACGCACTACAGCGAAGTGATCGGACACGGGAGAGGCAGCATCCGATCGAGTC